TCTGGTCATCACTATCTATCTTATACCTAGGTAATCCTATTCACGACCCATTCATTCATTACAATTTCCCCATTCACCACAAGAACTCGTCCGTCACCAACCAATCCTCCATACACCACAATACCTCATTTTTACTAAGGAGACCTACAAAACGCGCCCCGTGACATAAAAAATTACTGATGCTAAAATATATATAAAAATCTATGATGAAAATTGAGAGGGGAGGGAGATGAACCCAATAACAAACCAAAATATAAACACAAATCAAATTAAACATAACTGATGTTATGCCAACCATTTGCTATGCAGGAAATGTTAAGCGCAGTCAATATTTGTAACGTATCAAGTGTGTAATGTTTAGCGATCTAATCTAGAAGACTATATCAACTGTATAGCGAGTTTGATTCTCACAATGTGCTCCAAACCTTTGCCCTTGTTTCAAATCTGACTCATATTTCTTTTCTATCGGTATCCATTTTCCTAACTTTAATATTTTTTTTTTTCAAAAGACTAGTAAACGACGGGCCGCATAAAAACAGAAGAAAATGAACGTTCTTCAAAGGAACATCTACGATTTCCCTAGTGCTGTGTAAAAGTTGACACTCTGAAATTTATAGTGAAAAGCTCTTCAGGAAGAAACGCCCATAAAGATCCATTAGTGTTGATAGCGACTACATCGAGCCAATGGTTGCATCTACTGCAAGGAAAGTTGTGTCACTGTGTCGTGCCAGAAGGTTTTTCTCATCAGAGACAATCTTGCACATTTACAAATCTACAATTCGTCCGTGCATTGAATACTGTTTCCATATCTCGTCTGGTGCTCCTGCTATCCATCTCGAAGTTCTTAACAAAATTCAAAGAAGGATTTGCAATATAATCGATCCTGACCTGGCATATCAATTTCAGTCACTTTCTCACAGACGTGACATGACTTCCCTCTGTCTTTTCTACAAATATTTTCACGGCAACTGCTCTGACAAGATTTTTTTACCTGGTGCACCGACTGCATGAATTTAAGCGCGCTACTAGATTGGCATGTAGGTCCCATCCTTTTACTGATGAAATAGCTAAACGCAACATCCAGCAGTTTCTTTTCTCGCGCTTCCAGCCTGTAGAATTACCTTCCGCTTACTTGCCTTCCTGATAACTACAGTATTCAAAAATTTAATTGCAACGTCAATCGCCATCTTCTGTCTACTTGAATCCCGTTCATCTTTTGCGCTTTCCTCAATCCACACTATGTTCAGTCTTTTCTCTCACTTTAACTCCCTGTAAACCCCTTCGTAAGTTTGGCATTTCCGCTTTGGTTCGGGTAAAATGATTAAAAAAAACCATAATCGATAGATAGATAGATACAAGAACTCCTACAGAAGGTGTTATGGTCCGGTTTCTTGTACCACGGTGATAGTCGAAGGTAGAACCAATAAAGAAGAACTCGAACACGGATATGGAATAACACAGATATATTACAAACAGGAATATATACAGAGAAGTAGAAAGTGTTAGTACGAAGGTTTAGTAGTAATTGTCTGAACGCGACTCTGTTTCGGACTGCCTCTGACTCGACTGACTGACTCGCTCGCTCTGACTGACAGACAGACTCCTGGCTGACCTCACTCCAGACTTCAGACTGAACAGTATTTAGTCAAAACGAGGGCATCATGTGGCACAAGGCCGGTTTAACGTGGGATTTCCGAGCTCGTGGGCTCGGCCAAAAATATGCCCTTTGAACCCGTATAAACAGGTTCAGGGTCGGTTTACCTCCCCGAAAGAGACTCTGCCCTTCGGCGTAGCCTCGTTCGGGTTCCTCCCCGCCCGAAGGCAGAGAGTTCAACCGATCAGCCGGTCAGCCAGTCAGCCGTTCGCCCGACTTTGGACTGAACGATATTCAGTCACCTTCCCACGAGGGCGCCACGTGGCACAAGGCCTTTTTAACGTGGGATGTCCGATCCCGTGTGCTCGGCCAAAAATATGCCCTTTGAACCCGTATAAACGGGTTCAGGGTCGGTTTACCTCCCCGAAAGAGACTCCGCCCTTCGGCGTAGCCTCGTTCGGGTCCCTCCCCGCCCGAAGGCAGAGGGTTCAACCGATCAGCCGGTCAGCCGGTCGCCCGACTTCGGACTGAACTCCCTGCTTCCTCTTGAGGCGCAGTATTTATTACATATGGAATAGTCCATTATGTTATTATGGGTAAGGTCCTATAACAAAAGGTTGTTAAGGAAAGCGAGAAGAAAGGACTACACCTCAATTGTAAGAAGACAGAATATATCGTTGTTAGCAAAAGAAATCCCCCCAACCTGTAAACCAAAAATTAGGGACGGCAAAATCAAGCAAGTGTTAAAATTTGAATATCTAGTCAGTGTTTTAACGGAGGATGAAAAGAGCGACACCAAAATCTGAAGACGCATTGGGATAGCAAAAGATGTCTTCCAAAAGCTAAGCAAAGTATTAAGAAACAGGAAAAAAAATGAAATATCAGTCCTCCTGTATGGCAGTGAATACGGGACAATCTCATCTCAGATGAAGAAGAGACTACAAGAAAAAAATATTGTTCTACAGAAGGATGCTGTGAATACCATAGACTGAACATGTGAGCAACGACGGAGTTTTAGAGAAAATGGAAACAAAAAGGACACTTATACCTAACATCGGGAAGAAACAGTTGAAATTTCTAGGACGCATAATGAGGAGAGAGGGCTTAGAAAATTTGACACACACAGTACATATTAAAGGCAAGATGAATAGAGGAAGAAAGCATAACCTACCTCACGAGCTTGGGTAAATGGTTGGCAGAACAGATTAGAAGTAATGGCAAAAGGAAAAATCTTACTAAGATCTACAACAGAGAGGAAGTTGTGGAGAGCCATGATTGGCAACATAGAAGAAGACGGATACTATTTCCAGGTACAATAAGTGATGTGTCCCGAATAAAGAGATGTGCCAATTTTCTGCAATATTTTTGTTTTTCGCCAAATAATTTTTTTTTGATTTTTGACCCAAAGGTTTTGCTTTAAGCTGGGATCAATTAATTTCCTTTTGATCTTGGGTCAAATAACCCATCTTTGATTTTAGACCAAATAATTCTAGGTTCATTTTTGTTGACATACTGGAGGTCGTCGTGGATGCAGTTTAGGACGGAAACCTTCATCAGTACGAGAAATAGCGTTAATAGTGAAAAGACATCGGAATCCTATTTTCTTGTCAAAAATAAAGAGAAAGATTTTATAAATTTTAACCGACCATAACGCTAACAGTTCTGTCAATGAATACCAAGAGTTCCTTTATAAGGGAAGGGTTAATCTCAGTATCGTTGAATAAGGTTTAGCAATCATTACCAACACCATTATTGTTGAATAATGGTTAGCAGTTATTACCAATACCATTATCGTTGAATAATGGTTAGCAATTATTACGAATACCATTATCGTTGAATAATGGTTAGCAATTATTACGAATACCATTATTGTTGAATAATGGTTAGCAGTTATTACCAATACCATTATTGTTGAATAATGGTTAGCAGTTATTACGAATACCATTATCGTTGAATAATGGTTAGCAATTATTACGAATACCATTATCGTTGAATAACGGTTAGCAATTATTACGAATACCATTATCGTTGAATAACGGTTAGCAATTATTACGAATACCATTATCGTTGAATAATGGTTAGCAATTATTACGAATACCATTATCGTTGAATAATGGTTAGCAATTATTACGAATACCATTATTGTTGAATAATGGTTAGCAATTATTACCAATATCATTATCGTTGAATAATGGTTAGCAGTTATTACCAGTACCATTATCGTTGAATCATGGTTAGCAATTATTACCAGTACCATTGTGTTTGAATAATGTTAAGTAATTTTTACCAGCACCATTATCGTTGAATAATGGTTAGCAATTATTACCGATACCATTATCGTTGAATAATGGTTAGCAATTATCACCAATACCATTATTGTTGAATAATAATTAGCAATTATTAACAACACCATTATTGTTGAATAATGGTTAGCAATTACCAATACCATTATCGTTGAATAATGGTTAGCAATTATTACCGACACCATTATCATTGAATAATCGTTATATTCCTAATACATTATTTAATGCTAATCATTTGCTATGCAGAAAAGGTTAAGCTCAGTCAATATTTGTACCGTAACAAGTGTATAATGTTTAGCGATTTAATTTAGAAGACTATATTCACTCTGTCCTGAGTTTGATTCTCACTAGGTGCTTCAAGACTTTGGCCTTGCTTCATATTCGACAATTCTTGGTAAATATAAATACCTCGTGAAATGTTAATGGTTAGAAATGTAGTTTTATTGACTAATATGATTGTGTGTCAATTTGACCCTTACGGGGTGCTCCATACTTCTATCCTCGTACCAGACTAGACCAATTTCTATTAATAGTACCGGCAGGTGCTGAAAATCTTTCACATTGTCGATGACAGGGATTCAAAAGAAAATTCTGATGTTTGGTCGTTTGATGAGATTTTGGGATGAGTGTCAGGCATCATCAGGTTTCACAATTATTGGTCATTTCGCTTTTTTAAAAGTTTTCTTTTGTTTTAGTCTCACCTCGCCATCTTGTTGTAAGATTTTGTTTTTTAATTGAAAAGAAAAGCTACCAGTATTTCTTAATGATACACCAAAGATTTTTTTTTTTTTTAGTTTTGTTTTGGGTTTTGGCGTGATCGCAACTGATATTGGACAAGAAAGCTTTCTATCTAATTAATTTTGACCAGGAAATTGACTTTTGGTTTATTTTTCCCGCCATTTATCGAATTTCCTCTTGCGTTTTTTTTTTGTTTTTTTTTTACTTTTTATTTATTTATTTATTTTTTTTTTTGCTGTTTTCATTTCTGGTTGTGCTATTTTTTGTTCGTTTCTTGTTTTCCCCATGTTTTCCCCCCCATCAATCTTTTGTTTTCCCAAAACACCGCCGTCCTCACGTTCTCGTTTTTATCGAGTTTTCTATTTTCAGACCACAGCCTTTAATAGCTCGCACAATTGTATTTGTTGAGAAATGAAATACTCTTGCAAGACGAAAAAGGAAGAATATGGAAGGAGAGGTGAAGATGGGAAGAGAGGAAGACAGAGACAGAGACAGAGAGAGAGAGAGAGAGAGGGAGGGGAAAGGGAGGGGGAAGGAAGTATATAGAAAGAGAGATGGTGAGAAATGGAGAGAAAGAAAAAAGAAAGGGAGGAAGAAAGAATATAGGAGGAGAGATGAAGATAGACGGAGAAAAAGAAGGCGTGCGAGAAAGAAAGATAGTGACAAGGAAACGGAGAAAAGGAGAAAGAAAGAAAGAAAGAAAGAAAGAAAGAAAGAAAGAGCTAAAATAAAAGGGGGGTGAAAAAGGTAAGTGAAAAAGAAAGCATGAAAGGAAGAAAACAGCTAACAGCAAAAGAAAGAAAGAAAGAAAGAAAGAAAGAAAGAAAACGTGAAAGAAAAACATGAATAAGATATAGAACGAGAGAGGGGAGAAAGAAAGAGGGAGAAGGAGAGATAGGGAAAGAAAAAGATAGTGAAAAAAAAGAGAGACTGAGTGAAAGAGCGAGATTGAGAGAAAGACAGTAAGAAAGCAAAAGAGAGAAAGAAAGAGAAAGAAAAAGAGTGAGAAATAGATAGATAGATAGAAAGAAAGAAAGAAAGCAAGGAAGAAAGAAAGAGTAAATGAAAGAGAAGGAAGACAGAAAGAAAGAGAGCAGTGTAGAGTAGAAGAAAAAGAGAGAAAGAAATCGATGGAGAAAGAGAGAGAACGGTTGAATGAAAGAAGATAGACGGAAAGAAAAAAGAAAGAAAAGCGAGAATGGATGAAAGAAAGAGTGAGAAAATATGAGAGAACGAACGACGAGAGAATTAGACAAAATTAAGTAAAGAGGTCGATCCCTCACAAAAAATACAGCTTCCCAATCAAATCAGTGAACCCTGACCAAGTAAGCCGTTTGCTTATTAGGAAAGCAAATACAAAAAAGGATGTTTTAAAACACGAGCAAGGTACTAATGAAATCACGAATCAGCAAAAATGATTGAAAATGTGAACAACCAACGAATGCGACCCTTTCACGTCATGTGACATTGACGTCGAATATCTATTCACTAAATCCCAAACTGAACAAATATATGCACAATGTGCATTCCAGAAGTTTTGAAATTATTTCAAGAGAGATATTTATTAACTTCGAATATGTACAAATCAGAAATCTCCTTCAAAGTAGGATTCTCAATGCCCGTGTCGTAGCGTTCCAGCCATTTTGTAAAGACCCCATAGAAGTCATCCAAAGTAAAGATGTCCAGAACATTTGTCACAGCCTCTTCCAGCTTCTAAATCTCTCCAAAACAACTACTCTTGAGATCCTCATTCAGCTTGAGGAACATCACAAAATCGATTAATTTCTTGGTGGCTGTAGAAAACAGATCAAGACAAAATACCAAAAAATTTCTTTCAAATCATTTTTTATTTTCAAAAGTATTTTCAATCTGATCTGAGACGATCTTCAGTGGATGTGTATACAGTAAGTCATTAAATTCAAAATATTTTTTCACTATTCGTTTACAGCGTTTCAAATTCAAAATTTTTCTCTCAGTTATACAAGGAAGGTAACACACAGAAGGGCGCCCACTAAACACATATATATATATATATCTTATAAAAGGCAGGACGTGTGTGTGCGTATAACGAATGCACAGCCGTAATTTTCGACGGATTTGCACCAGAATTTACATGCACATGCTCCAAGTTAGCGGGAAGGCCAAGAGCGACTTTGCATTTCCCAACTCCCATCGATAGTGGAAATAATCGATTTTTTCATGCTTCTACGGCAGTTTTCATGTAGTTTTCTACTGGCCAGAGTGAGAGCCAATAGCTGGTTGCCACGAATAGGCAGGAAGATTTTATTGGCCAGCGTGAGAGCCAACAGCTGACCGACACGAATGTTAACTAGCATGCTAGCATGCAAAAAAAAATCGATAGCTACATTCGTCACAAGTGGGGAAAAATTTAAATTTGCATGGCACTTTACTCCAATTGGCTCATTCGCTTGCTTAAACTCAACGTTGATTCTGATTCCACAGAACTGGGTTGGGTGTGAAAAAGTATTTGTCGTTAACATTCTTTTTTCATTCGGTTTTTCCAGTTACGAGTCCTTTTTAAAGCTGATCGTTTTGTCTTCATTTTGTTTATATATATATATATATATATATATATATATATATATATATATATATATATATATATATATATTGGTGTATACGGAATGAATTCCAATAACGGTTAGAATAAATTCTTTTAATATTACCCGTATTTTAAAGATCTGAATAGCTATTATAACATGATTTCGTTGTCAAGCTTTTGAATCTTCCTATACTTGGGTTTTGATTGGTCATTCTAGCTTTTGTAACAATGTTTTCCCCTACCGAAGGATCGTTAATTAATTTGAAACTTTTAAAACCATTCATTTTATATTCCACATCATCACTTGATAAGACACCGAGTGTGTTGAAACAAAATGGCTATTTTTGTAGTGATTTTATAACATATTTATGTTATAAATTGTTTTTTTGATATATATATATATATATATATATATATATATATATATATATATATATATATATATATATACGTTTGTTCGTGTTAAGGATTACGGTTAATGCGATACTTTATAGTTTTAGTGTTTTTTTTTTATTTTCACTTCTAATTCTTTTTCTGGTTCTAAGTATAACTGTCTTTTTTTTGTTTCTATTTTCCTTAAAAATTCCTCGTTAATCAAGTGTTCAGCCTCCTTCTGTAGAATTACATATCTGTTGCCTCAAATCTTCTCATCACTCGTGAAAAGATTGTCCAGCATTCTCTGCCATATAAGCGAACTGATATTACATAGTAGTTCAGCACCCTTAATTTGTTTCCTGTTTCTTGATACTTTGCTTAGCTTTTGAAAAGCACCTTTTGCTATCTCGACGCGCCTTCAGATATCGGCGTTACATTTTCTGTCCTTTGTTAGAACACTTCTACGATATTTAAATCTTTATACTTCTTTCATTTTGGCATCTTCAATTCGTTGTTTGCATCTTATTTTGTTTCTCAATTATGCCTTCTGTCTTTCAATTAAGGAATAGTCCTTTCTTCTTGCTTTCCTTTACTACCTTATCCAGGACTTCCTCTAGTTTTTTCTCCAGTTCACATCTTGGGTTTTGTCTGTTGCTGACAAACATGTTTGCCTGTTTTCTTGCAATTGATGCTTGGATAGTTAGTCCTTTCTTCTCGCTTTCCCTTTACTGCCTTGGTTAAGCGGTGCTAGCAGTTTTTCTTCCGTGTCTGCCACCTTTCTTGCCACTTTCTTTTACTAGCTTCTGTAAGTGTTCCTGCAGTTTACTTGGCTTACGGTTACATCAGATTAAAACACTTGTTCACGCACGATCAAGGAAGTTAAGCAACGTCAAGCCTGGTTAGTACTTAAGTGGGTGGCCGCTTGGGAATACGAAGTGCGGTAAGCTTGGATGTGCGGTGGATAATGGCTCAGAATTGTTAATTGGTGTGTCAAGTTCCAATTCCACTTGGCTTCGTTATACGGGCAAATATCTTTGAGCAAAGTATAAATCCACCCATTCTTCCCCAGATATAGGTTAATTTGTAAGACTTGTATGACTAAAATCATTAAAATCTTAAAATAAAAAATAGAAAAATAAAATTGTGTACAAAATATTTAGATTCCGGCATTAAATAACCCATATTTAAAAAAAAAATCTAAAAAGATTATCTGGCTTTAAATAACCTGCAAATGGTCGATAAACCGTAGAAAATGAATCAGTCAGAATCAATCAGGCATTCAGTTTCTTTTCTACATCCTTCATATCATATACAGTGCTGTTCGATAAAAGTGACTCACTTGATTTCTTTTTACTAAAAATATTTTTTGTCTATTGTTTTGGGAGTTAAAATGGAAGAATGTTCTCTTCTCCGATGAAACGAAAGTTGAGCTAAATTCAAAGGATAAGCGATCTAAAATCCGAAGAAGAAGCTTTGAAAGCTCTTTGAATTTAGCATTAAGTACTGTCAAGCATCCGTTCAGTATAATGTTCTGGGGATGCTTTTCTTTTCGTGGAACTGGTTTCTTAAAACCTATTGAAAAGATCCTCAGGAGCAAGCAGTACAAGAGAATTTTAGAGTCATATCTGCTCCCTTCTGCTGAAAGGGTGCAAATCGACCCCACCAAGCTCATTTTTATGCAGGATAATGCTCCCTGTCACAAATCAAAATTGATGAAGGAATACTTTGATGAGAAGCATGTGAGTGTTATGACATGGCCGCCCCATCTCCTGACCTCAACCCCATAGAAAACTTATGGAGCATTATAAAGTACAGGCTCTCGAGAAAGCAGTTAAGCAACAAAGAGGATTTGATTGTGAATTTCATATCCGAATGGAATTCAATGCTTGGAGATGAGATTTGCCAGAACCTAATCAAGTCAATGCCAAAAAGGGTTGAAAAGGTTATTCAAAATAAAGGAGGACCCATAGATTATTAAATATTTCGAACTATATTACCTATTATAAATAAATTATACCTCTATTATTCTTTATTTAAAGCTGTTCGGTTATGTTTCTATTGATTACTAGTTGCAGAAAATAAGTGAGTCACTTTTTTTCCATAGAGTGTTTCCCTAAATCTCATTTATATCCAAAATTATAATTATCAATAGAATACCTTAGGGTGAGTAAACTTTTTTACTAGGAGGTCGAGAAGGGGGTCTTTATATTAGTAAGATTAAAAATTTGGTGAGCCACTTTTATCGAACAGCACTGTATATTTAAGATTGTGTCCGTAAATAATAAATCCTTGTAGGACATCTAGTTCTCTCAGTATCGCCTCCATGTAAAGGTTGACTACGTCTGGTATTTCATCTTAGAAATGTACAAAACTTATGGAGAGAAGCATTCCGAAATTCCGTTGTCGCTGCTGCAATTTGTCTGATAAAACATGCTTCCCCCCCTCCATCCCGTCACCGACAAGCGTTGCAATTAAATATCTTTCGCTGAAGCAAACGGGTTGCGTTGTTGACAAGTTGTCAACATCTGCGCGAGACATCTTAACTGCAAAAGTGCTATTTAGAAAGCGTCGACTCAAAACTGCAAGCATTTATAATTTATTTATTTACTGCTGACGAGGGACGAACTGGCCGTGTTTTTTGGGTTTTTTTTTTGCTTACGCAGACGATTTCCCATTGTTAGCGTGTGCGGCGAGAGCTGACAAGCGTAGGTAATCATGACCCTCCACAACTTCCTTTCTCTTGTAGCTCTTAATAAATTTTGTCCTTTTATTATTTCCCCCAAACCCTGCCTAACACCCATTTACTCAAGCGCATCATTATTTAAACAACAAGAACAACAACAGCAGCATCAACAACAACAGCAGCAACAACAACAAGAACAACAACAGCAGCAACAACAACAACAACAACAACAAGAAAAAGATTACAATTTGCCAGCCACTGCCACCATGCGGACAGGGACATTGTCTCATTCTATACTACAGAAGCAACTTCTCAAGAAAATTGACTTTCCCGGACACCATAGATAGGGACTCAGGTTTGCACATTTGGGGTTTGGGGAATAGCAATGCAGGATCGAACTGTGTGGAAAGGGATTGTCAATGGAGTTCCGACCAACCCAATTACCATTTCGGCCGTTGTACGATCCGGACTTCTTCGGGTGATTGGAATTTCGAACCCTTTATTTCTTCCATCAGGGTAGATTGTTCTAATTCCACGTGCCATGCCTCTTCCGAATGTTTCAGTTATCTCTCTTTTCACCCAACTCTCCAAGTTTTCACTATTTACATTATTCAGATTATTGTCCTCATCTTTGTCGCCATATTTATTACCCCATCTCAGAAATATAGACTGTTCTCCAAGGTTTTTTTCGCAACTCCAGTAGCCAGGTATTGAACACACAATTCACTGGGTCCAATCAACGCTTTTATCCACTGGGCCATGTGTCCTTGAGAACCTGAAGAAGTCCGGGGTGTGCAACATGTGGCGCGAATATGGCAATAAAGATGAGGGCATCAGTCCGAACATTGTAAATAATGTAAATCATTACAATACCTCATCTCAGAAATATAGACAGATACTCATCAAATATGTTTCGCATTGCTTTCCTCTGTCCCTATTTCCCTCAAGTTGCCCTGTGAGTATCATATTTTCCAAGCCCTCCTTCCTCATTAAATGCCGCAGAAATTTCAACCGCCGCTTCCTGATGTTAAGTATGTTCTCGTTTTGTTTCTATTTTCTCTAAAACCTCGTCGTTTTTCACATGTTCAGTCCATGGTGTCCTCAGCATCCTTCTGTAGAACCGCATTTCTGCTGCTTGAAGTCTCTTCTTCATCGTTTTCCTTTTTCCCATTTCCCCCCAAATCTCGTTGTTGCTCACTTGTTTGGTCCATGATATCCTCAGTATCTTTCTGTAGAACTACATTTTTGTTGCTTCAAGTCTCATCTTTGAAGAGATTGACCAGCACTCGCTGCGATTACAGGAAGACGGATATCACGTAACAGTTCCATATTCTTTTCTTTGTTTCTAACGAAATTTTTCTGCCTCTTAATACTCTGCTTAGCTTTTGGAAGGCATCTTTGGCCATCCCAATACGACTTCAGATCTCAGTGTCGCACTTTCCGTCCTCTGCTAGAAAGTAGGACGTCCCTTTAAGGACAATTCTTCTTGCTGATTTGACCAAAAAAAATCTTACTGCCTAATGAAATACATTTTACTACATATTAATGAAGGTATAACTGCTTATAAACAAAGTTTCTGTTCTTCTATCATGGCTCTCCACAACTTCCATTCTCGTGTAGTTCTTAGAAGTTCCTTTACTAAGGCTTCCGCCCATCGTTTTACCATCAATTCACACAAGCTCATCAGCTAAGTGACACTCTACCTTCCCCTGCCTTTCTTATCTTCAATATGTCTCGTGTGTGTTAAGTTTTCCAAGCCTTCCTTCCTCAACATGTGTCTAAGGAATTTCAGCTATATTTTCCTGATTTTGAGTAGAAGTGATTTTTTTTTGTTGTTGTCATTTTCTTTAAGACGGGTTGTTTACTCGCTCCGTCCATGGAATTCTCAGTATCCTTCTGTGGAACCTCATGATTGCTACCTCCAGTTTCTTTTTTCGTTCTGTTTATTAAAATTATTTCCACTTTTAAAATAAGATTTATTACGAATTTATTATTATTATTATTATTTTTTATTTCTGGTGTATACTCATTTCTTTCCGGGTTGCGACCAGAGATCTAAGGTCAGAAAAGGCATCATGATATTTTCCACTGAGCAGTTTTGAAAAAAAATCAAAAAAAATCATACATATTTTACATAGATAAAGCCCTTCGTAAGATGTGGGCTGTATTTTTGAAAATATTTTTTTTTTTTTTGTATTTCTTTCATTTCATCTTGTGCTATCAGGGATTCCTTTAATGAGTCTGTCGGAATCTTTTCCAATCAATCCGAGGGCTCCAACTACAAATGGAATTGTTAATGTCCTCATGTACCATGTTTTTGAGATTTCGATTTCAAGGTACTTGTATTTTGATAGCTTTTTGAAGATCTTCAAAGATACACTGCAGTCTGCAGGGACTGCCATTATCAATAAGAAGGTACGTTTTGTTTCTGCGGTCTCGTATCACGATGTCTGGGCGATTACCTTTGATTGTTCTGTGTGTATTGTAAAGTCCCATAAAATTGTTACAGGTCCTATCTTCATAACAAGTTCTGGTTAGTTGTTCATACCAATTTCTTGCATTTTCGTTATTTGGTTTCGTTTGGTTTGTTTTACGGCATATCAAAACCCCAATGGGTCATTTAATGCCGATAAATTTTTTTCCGGTAATATTTTTGTTTTGCCAAAAATCTATTTCTGTTAATATTTTTTTCCTCAAAAATGTATAGCTGGTAATATTATTTTTTTTTCAAAACGTATAGCTGGTAACATTTTTCCAAAAACGTATAGCTGGTAATAGTTTTTTTTTTTTTCAAAAACGTATTGCTAGTAATATTTTTTTCTTCAAAGATTTATTTCTGGTAATAATTTGTTACAAAGTATTTCTGGTATTAAAACCTATTTTTATACTTTTATAATGCTTTTTATCTCAGTTTCAGGGTTAACTATTTGCCCGTAGCTGGGATCCTAACAGGTGCTCTCACCCCGGGTCAAGGTGGACCTGGGAACACCAGCAATTAAGAGGTGGTTCCATGCTCCTCAAAACCTTTTGATCAGAGGCCTTGCTGTCGGATGTAGTTTATCGTCTTACCCAGGACGCGGTGTAGTTTATCGTCATACCCAGGACGATTTCGTTATTTGTTATTATTATTATTACATTTCCTTTGATTTCCGGTGTATCTCATTTCTCTCCGGGTCACAACCAGAAACCCAAGGTCAAGAAATTGCATCATGGCAAAAATATCAAAAATAAAACAAAAAACCCCTAAGATCACACTTATTT